CATTCAAAGATTAATTTCTAACCTTGCCGGACCTTGCCTTCCATTCAACAAATTGGTAAAGAAAGATGTACCATTTGAATATGATGATATTTGTCGAAGTGCATTTCAAAGCATCAAGCAATATTTGTCTCATCCACCAGTACTCATAGCTCCGATCCAAGGGAAACTACTAACTCTTTATGTTGCAGCACAAGAATATTCTCTAAGAGCACTCCTCGTCTAAGTCAATGATGAAGGAAAAGAGAATGCGCTCTACTACTTGAGTCGAACACTGGTAGGCGCTGAAATGAAGTATTCGCCTATTGAGAAAATATGTCTTGCGTTAATTTTCGCTGCTAAAAAATTAAGACATTATATGCTTTCACACACGATCAACATTGTTTCAAAGATTGATCCATTAAAGTACATAATGTCCAGATCGATTATTTCCAGAAGGATTGGAAAATGGGCGCTGCTATTGTCTAAATTTGACATCAAATTCATTCCACAAAAAGCCATCAAAGGATAAATTTTGGCAGATTTCCTTGCCGACCACCCAGTCCGAGCAGAATGGTAACTATAGGAAGACCTTCCAGATGAAGAAGATCTATTTACGAAAGTCATACCATCATGGAGGCTGTATTTCGATGGGATAGCCTGAAGTTATGGTGCTAGAGTAGGAGTCATCTTTGTCACTCCCCATGATCTTATTATGTCGTACTCTTTTGCCCTATCAGAGAAATGTTCAAACAACGTGGTGAAATATCAAACCCTTATCATTGGCTTGGAGGCAACATTAGACATGGACATTCATCAGCTGGAAGTCTTTGGAGATTCTGAATTAATAATCAACAAATTTCTGGTCGAGTACGAAGTCTGTAATTCAGATTTGAAGCCATATCATCAATATGCATCAATGCTTATGAAACGATTTGATTCATTAAAAATAAAATTCATACTTAGGAGTGAAAATATGGAAGTTGATGCCTTAGCTAATTTGGTCGCTGTTTTAGCCAGGACGGATGAAGATTTTTCTCGTTCCATTTCAATTGCTCAAAGATGGGTGCTTCTGCCATTACTACCAAGTGATATGGAAGAAAACAATAGCATCGAAGTAATCAAAGATGAGGAAAAAGAAGATTGGGGACAATCGATAATCGATTTCCTTCAACATCAAAAGCTATCGGATAATCTATGGCGAAAAACTGTGCATCCCGCTTTGTCTTTTATAAGGGAACACTTTATCGACGGTCATTTGACGGAGTTTTTCTTCGATGCTTAAGTAATATGTGTCGTGGAAGAAGCACACTCTGTAATCTGTGGTACTCATCAGTCCGAACCCAAACTCCATTTTTGAATAAATAAGATGGGGTACTACTGACCAACTATGGTACAAGACTCCATGGATTATGCAAAGAAATGTGAAGTTTGCCAAGTTCACACAAATTTCATCCATTTACCTTCGGAACCATTACATTCGATAGTAGCTTCATGGTCATTGGATGCATGGGGTCTTGATGTAATTGGACCCATAACTCCAAAGTCTTTAGCTAGACATTCATATATCCTTACCGAGACCGACTACTTCTCTAAGTGGGCTGAAACCATACAATTAAAAGAAGTAAAGAAAGAAAAAGTTGTGAATTTCATTCGTATCCAGATCATTTATCAATATGGGGTCCCACGATACATCATCACTGACAATGGAAAGCCCTTCTGCAATAGCCATATAAACAATTTATGTGCAAAATTTAGATTTAAACAATACAACTCATCTATGTACAATACAGCATCTAATGGTTTAGTAGAGACATTCAACAAAACTCTTTGCAGTCTACTAAAAAGGTTGTCTCCAAATCTAAAAGAGATTGGTATGAAAGAATTGGTGAAGTCTTATATGTTTATCGAACTCCAACACAAGCTACTCCTTATGTCTTGGTGTATGGAGTGGAATCTGTACTTCCATTAGAGTGTCAGATCCTGTCATTTTGAATTTTCATCTAAGAAGGTTTGACAATAGAAGAAAATGCCTATCTTCGATTGGAGGAGTTAGACGTTTTGGATGAAAAGAGATTGGAGGCACAAATGCACCTGGAATGTTATCAATCTTGGATGGCAAAGTCCTTCAATAAGAAGGTACGACCAAGATCATTTCAAGTTGGAGATTTAGTACTTTCCGTACGTCGACCACTCATAATCACAAGAAAAATATGGGACAAGTTCCAACCTAAATGGGATGGTCCATTTGTTGTTACTCATGTATGCACAAATTGAGCATACAAGATTGTCGACAATGATGGACTACAAATCGGGTCTATCAACGGGAAATTTCTAAGGCGTTTTTATGCTTGGAGTGCTTTATTTTGTAAAATTTTCATTGTAATATTCCTGGCTTGCAAGATGATAAACTGTGAATGTCCCCTCCCAAATAAACAAAAAAAAAAGTGTTCTTATAACGAACTATGTTCGACTTGATCCCGTTTGGGTACATAGGCAGTTTGAATGAATTATAAATTCAAGTTCAGTCACAATTAATAAATTCATTCAATTCGTTTACCATTTTCTGCAGTAAAAAAAATACATAAGAAACAAGAAAAAAAAAGTTCATCGTAAAAAGAAAAAGAACTGTGGCAAATTAAAATTCATACAATGTAATTTTAAAGAAAATAAAAAAGTCTCAACTTTATCACTCGCCATTGATTACTTGTAGGAAACTATCTTCAATGGTCTTCCTTTTCTAGTCAATGGATGCTGCGTTAGAGACATCTTTAGTCTGTAATTCTTCTAATGTGGCCGTTGTAGTTCCCAGCATACTCTACTGTTCCCGACGAGTTTGAAGTTCATTACGGAGTCTGTCCAACTCGAAAGTTAGCTGACTAATTTTATTTTCCAATGAAGAACACATGGAATCCTCCACTTCCAGTTGAATATTCAAAAGCTTCAATTGCCCAGCCTTTTCTTCGGTGGTTGGACACTCCAAGTGTTGATTTCTTTCAGATAAATAAATATCAACTTCTTTAAGAAACACGTCCATGCGTTTCATCAAAGGTGCTGGATCTGAGCGGAATGAGCTGGTAATCACGTTTTGAAGAATTGCATAATTTTCGACCCACCAAGATCGGATGTTTGAAAACCCACGCTTTAAGACATCCCTAAAACACTTCTGAAGAATCACAATTAATAAATTCATTCAATTCGTTTACCATTTTCCGCAGTAAAAAAAATACATAAGAAACAAGAAAAAAAAAGTTCATCGTAAAAAGAAAAAGAACAATGGCAAATTAAAATTCATACAATGTAGTTTTAAAGAAAATAAAAAAGTCTCGACTTTATCACTCGCCATTGATTACTTGTAGGAAACTATCTTCATTGGTCTTCCTTTTCTAGTCAATGGATGCTGCGTTAGAGACATCTTTAGTCTGTAATTCTTCTAATGTGGCCGTTGTAGTTCCCAGCATACTCTTCTGTTCCCGACGAGTTTGAAGTTCATTACGGAGTCTGTCCAACTCGAAAGTTAGCTGACTAATTTTATTTTCCAATGAAGAACACATGGAATCCTCCACTTCCAGTTGAATATTCAAAAGTTTCAATTGCCCAGCCTTTTCTTCGGTGGTTGGACACTCCAAGTGTTGATTTCTTTCAGATAAATAAATATCAACTTCTTTAAGAAACACGTCCATGCGTTTCATCAAATGTGCTGGATCTGCGAGGAATGAGTTGGTAATCACGTTTTGAAGAATTGCATAATTTTCGACCCACCAAGATCGGATGTTTGAAAACCCACGCTTTAGGACATCCCTAAAACACTTCTGAAGATAATTAGTCATGGCATCTTACAATGCAGCCTTCAAGTAAGGAGATTCTTGAGTTATCTCTGGCAGGGGACCAGCCATGGAAGAATAAATTGGAGCTGCCCGACGATTATTTATTTCTAAAGACGGAATGTTAACTAAAGCCAATGAAGGTAGACCAGTTGAAACTTCTTGATTGATCACTGAAATGTTAGCTCTCGCAATCTCAGAATTCACTTCATCTTCATCTTGGAAATCATCTACGTTGAACGCCGGAATACCTTCATTAATAGTACTCGGGTATTTGCAAGGTGGGTTGTGAAAATCATGAGTACCATCCATTCCTTGAAACGCACCGATTCTCCCGTCATTCTCCCCATTCTGATCTTGTAAAGAGTTTAGATTCATAGAGAAATGTAATCCTTCAGGAATGCTTGGAAAACCTACAAAAAATGGGAGATATATAAAAAGGGATAAACAAAAAACCTACCCGCGTTCCGTGTTCTAGGCGCCATATCTAAAAATTCGCCATCTGATGGTGTATTTGGAAGACTAATGTTAATGTGCGAAACTTCGCCGTCACCTTTCGAAAGATTTGGGACAGCTTGAAGCAGCATTGGTTTTACCGATCGTTTAACCTTGTATATTCGAGAAAGAGGAGCCTGAAATTGAAGTTCATTACATAAGTCCAATACAGGTAGTATGTTAAAATAAAATAAATAAATAAATAGCATACCTAATCTCCAAAGCTTTCATCTCCCTGAGTTAGAGTATTTTCAGATGCGTGGGATGCTCGATCTTTAGGACTACTGTGGTCTGGAATCAAAACTACTTCAGACATCTTATCAGCAGGCTCAGAGGTGGAAGCAAATTTTGTTGAAGGGATTTTAATTTTTATCTTCTTAATACCTCTTTCATTTTGAATGTCCAGTTCCCTCTTTTAGATATGTCCGTTTATTCGGTTCAAACTGTAGGAAAATCATTCTCCTGAAAGTCCTTCTTGCATTTTCCAACCACCTAGCCTTGCAGAAGGCATGAATAATCGAATTCCAATCGTGGGTACCCATTTCAGCTTGGGAGTCCTCAACAACCTCGTCCAAAAAAGCTACTATGAGCTCAAGTCGATGGTTTCCTGTTAAACCTGTTATTATAGTCAGATAAGTTGCCTTTCAAGTCACGTATTCTTGATTCTCTCATGTCCCTAAAGAAATAAAATGCTGACTGGAAATCTTAGCATGACATGGATGCTTCTACGAGAGATTCATAGCTACCAACATCCAACTGAAGCCCCAAACTAGAAATTTCTGTAACCAATTTGGCAGCTTCTACTGTTCCTTGCTCTTTGCCATAAGCTTTCAAGATGGACACAGAGACCTCAATTCCAACAAAAGCCTTTTGAGCATTCATTTCATCAAGGATGTTATGCGCCTTGTCCAATAATCCGAGACTAACACAAGCACTGATAATAGAGTATCCTATTCATCTTTCTACTAAAATGGATAAACATTCTGACTTATGTACCTCAATAATCAAAGCCTGAATAATCAAATCTACTAAACCCTTGATATTCCTATTTTGGAGAAATACTGTAACCACGTCATTATATGTTTCTTAGCTAAAAATAGAATCTTGTTTTGACTTTTGTGCCTCAATAATCAAATCTGCTAAACCCTTGATATTCCCATTTTGGAGAAATACTGTGAACACGTCATTATATGTTTCTTGGCTAAAAATCGAATCTTATGCTTCATCTTATTTCGGACAACACAGAAGTGCAGCCGAAACAGATTCCAAATTACTAAACTTCAGATACCCACTAATCAGATTCTGAAGAAAAACATTTCTATCAGAAAAATCAAACCTAGTGATTATACCTTTTAACTTAGTGATCTTCTCCTTAAGCCCTTTAGTGGCATACAAGTAAGAAAGTTACCCAAAAGTAAATTCATCAGGCTTAATACCCAAAATAGAAATCGTGTTAATAACCTTCTCAACACCACTAACCGATTCAAGCTTGCAACAACAACACTCCAATGCAGCATTACACAAAACCAAATCAGCCTTCATAAAATTGTTGACCTTGAAAAATGGTTACGACAAGTGGGTAACAGAACGAAACTCCACATAAACTCCTCTCTACACACGGTAACACGTCATCGGTCACTTGTGACCTTTTTCGATGGGGGTGGAGACGATCGCGAGCACTTCGACGATCAAGTCAGTGTCTCAGTTAACTGGAAAGTGGTCACCAGAACAAGAAAATATATGTTGAACGGCTTCTTTAGAGTTAAAGACTATGATGTAAAACTTGAAAAAGTGGGAACCCCTTACCAATATGGGGGTATTTATACTAAAAAAGGGAAGAAGTGAACCGTTAGATGGTGGGACACGTGGCTTCAGATCCCAAGCGATCCATCCTTTCATAGGTGTCAATCTGTCCATCGTTAGGTTGGCAAATATTAAATGGTTTCTGACATATCAGCTGAATTGAATATTTATAGTCTGCCCCACGTCCCATCAATTAGTCAAGAACTTGAATTTGGAGATCTTCGAAAAGATCTTGATAGTGAGGTGGAAAGGCAGATTGTGAGATGTGTCGAGTATGCAATGCGAGCCTTTGCATTCGCCGTAACTGACGGATGAATTTGGTGCTTCTATTAGGTAGAGACGATAGTGATTCAGATCGTCTTCATGGGTTCAGTTAATCCTCGTTGGTTTAGTTCGTCTACGTAGATTTATTTCATCCTCATGGATTCAGTTCGTCTGCCACGTGGCACACTGAATCATCTTAGGCGAATTGTGAGATGTGTCGAGTATGGAGTGCGAGCCTTTGCATTTGCCATGACTGACGGATGAATTTGGTGCTTCTACTAGGTAGGGACGATAGTGATTCAGATCGTCTGCATGGGTTCAGTTCATCCTCGTTGGTTCAGTTCGTCCGCGTAGATTTATTTCGTCCTCGTGGATTCAGTTCATCTGCTACGTGGCACACCGAATTATCTCAGCTAATACGTAACGGGCGAGGTAGATTGACAAGATGGAGGGCCTCAGATGTCCCGTAACAACAGTCTCCCAAGTCTTTGTACGAATATTTATATAATGCATGGACTTTATAGATGCGGTTGTATGGTGCTGTTTTAAGAGACACGATCATCGGTTGTAGATTTTGATGGAAGGGCAAGACGTTGACTGGAAGGAGCTGTTACGATAGCAAAGCAAAGCTCTGGCTAGGGGAGGAGGTGATGAGTGTTGGCAACTTTGAGGAAAGTTATTGTAAGGCGAAGTCCGGGCTGAGGGATGAAGTGATAAGTGTTGGCAACTTTGAGGAAAGTTATTATAAGGCGAAGTCCGGGCTGAGGGATGAAGTGATAAGTGTTGGCAACTTTGAGGAAAGTTGTTGCAAAGTGAAGTCCTAGCTGAAGGACGAAGTGATATGTATTGGCAACTTTGAGGAAAGTTGTTGCAACGTCGAGTGCTAATACGGCCGAATAGATAGAAGTTGGCAGCTCTGAGGAAAGTTATTGCAACGTTAAGTGCTGATACAGCTGAAGTGGTAGGGGTTGGAAACTCTAAGGAGGGTTGTTGCAATGTTAAGTGCTGATACGGTCGAAGCGATAGGGGTTGGCAACTCTGAGGAAATTTGTTGCAACGTCGAGTACTATTAAAGGCCGAGTAGCTAGGAGTTGGCAACTTTGAGGAGAGTTGTTGCGACGTCAAGTGCTGATACGACCAAAGCGATAGAGGTTGGCGACTCTGAGGAGAGTTGTTGGAACGTTAAGTGCTGATACGATTGAAGCAATAGGAGTTGGCAACTTTGAGGAAAGTTGTTGCAACGTTGACTGCTGATATGACTGAAAGATAGGAATTGAAAACTCTGAGGAGAGTTGTTGGAACGTCAAGTGCTGATACGGTCGAAGTGACATGGGTTGGTAACTCTGAGAAGAGTTGTTGCAGCATTAAGTGCTGATGCGGTCGAAGCGATAGGGATTGGGAACTTTGAGGAAAGTTATTGCAACGTCGAGTGCTGATATGGCCGAAGAGATAATAATGGCAACTTTGATGAGTGAATTGATCTCTATTTCTAGGCATCTGCCAGATTCGATCAAATACACTAGCGGACCTTTGAGGCCGTTCTTCATATTCTGGGGGGAAGTTATCTTCTTCAGCTTGGTCATTTTCAAATGGAAGGATAGTGTATGAGGTGTCCACTCCCACTTTCCTCTCAATGGGAACTTTCCGTTGTTGGCTTGAGTGAGTTCTCCGGCTTGATTCCGGTTCGGTCCTTTAGGCTGATTGTGGAGGATTTTGGTGGGCTTGGAAGTCGCCCTGATTTTGTACTTGCATGAGGATTTCCTGCATGGCTGCATTTTAGGCTGCAATATTCCTAATGTTAGTGGCCATACGAGCCACTCGACAATTTGCCACTCATCAATTCTCCCGCCCATATGGTATCGATGATGGGGCCTTTGGTGCGTGACATTATTCCGGGTGGTCTCTTCTTCAGAGATCTCTCTTGTTCTCCTCGGGTTCACTTTTTTGTCGCTTGAACTCATTAGCTTGGGGTTGCCAATCCTCTTCCAAAATGATGGGAGCTCACAGCTTGTTCTTTTTCAAGAACAAATTCATTTTTTCAAGGAGGGAAAATCAATCAAATATTCCGATAAGCTTTTTCTTTCGTGGGGATTCTCGTGGTTATAGTAAGTTTTCCACAGACGGCACCAATCTATTGACCTAAAAAAATGGTTCCGAAACATGGCCAACAGAACAAAACACCATGTAAGGTCTTCTCTGCACACGGTAACACGCCGTCAGTCACTCGTGGCCTTTTTCGATGGGGATGGAGGCGACCGCGAGCACTTCGACGGTCAAGTCAGTGTCTCAGTTAACTGGAAAGTGGTGTCGACGGTGAAGTGGTCACCAGGACGAGTAAATATATGTCGAAAAGCTTCTTTAGAGTTGAAGATTATGATGTAAAACTTGAAAAAATGGGAACCCCTTACTGTTACCAGTATGGGGGTATTTATACTAAGAATGGGAAGAGGTGAACCATTAGATGGTGGGCCACGTGGCTTTAGATCCCGGGCGCTCCATCCTTTCATAGGTGTCAATATGTCCATCATTAGGTTGGTGATATTAAATGGTTTCGACATATCAGCTAAATTGACTGTTTGTAGTCTGCCTCACGTCCCATCAATTAGTCAAGAACTTGACTTTGGAGATCTTCGAAACAATCTTAATAGTAAGGTAGCGAGGCGGACTATAAGATGTGTACAGTATGGAGTGCGGGCCTTTGCATCCAACGCGACTGATAGATGAATTTGGTGCTTCCACTAGGTGGGGACGATAGTGATTCAGCTCGTCTGCATGGGTTCAGTTCGTCCTCGTTGGTTCAGTTCATCTGCGTGGATTCAGTTCGTCCTCGTGGATTCAGTTTGTCTGCCACGTGGCAAACCAAATTAGCTCGACTAACACGTGGCGGGCGACATGTATGGACGAGGTAAAGGGTCTCAGATGGCCCGTAACAAAATCCATCTTGCACAAACAATAATAAACTTCTTCTCCACATTTTTTTCTTCCTCCTTTCTATGTGTCTCTCCGATAGATAGTTATGTTAGGTTGAGCTTGGCACATCTAAAAATTACTTATCCCGCATATTTCCCTTTTCTTTATTATTCTGAAATTAATATGAAGATAGAGATTGGAAGAAAACAATAATATTAAAATAATTTGTGTCACTTATTTAACTATCAGTGATTTGCATAATGTAAGATTTATATTTGCAATTAAAATAACGTGATAGCATGTCATCGCCTTTTGATTGTTATTCTTTTATCTAGACTAAAAACATATCCTTATAATACAGCTAAGAACGAATGTGTTAGTAAACTTCAAGTCGGAATCTTAGCTTTCATTAGAATCTATGGTTGTCTAGTGGAAAGTCGTCAGCCGACTCTACTTGCCACATGTATAGCCAAGCTGGGTTCATTCTATGTGAGTCACTCACCCAAATTGCGTTGACTAGTTCAAATCGGGGAAATAATAAAAAATAATAATTTAAAAATACAAAAAAGTGTGATCCTTGACATACCCCACCTAGGGGCAAGTTGATAGAACGAGTCGGTCGAGGTATATTGAAGTGACCAACTTGTGCTCGGCTCAAACTGACTCGTTAGGTAGGCCAAGTCAAGTCCATCGATGGACGAGTCGAGTAGCTCAACTTGACTTCTTTAACACTCCTATTAGAAATAAAAAAATAATAACTTCGGATGTGAAACTTGAACACTTACTAAGCCATTTCGAATAAAAAGGTTCGTTCAAAAAATCTAGCCATAGGTCGAATTAAATAGCATGCTAACAATGGAATTATGCAACAATGAATCTATTTAAAGTAGAATTGCACCCTCATGAGCACGAGAAAGGTCCTTTAACTACAACAACGACATTAATGCAGTCGTGGAGTATAATCAATTTCATTGTATGTATTAATTTGCTACATGTATATTAGCTAAATTACACAATTTTCCTCAATCCTTTTTTATTTTTATTTTTTTGACAATATTTAACGTTCCATTAATCGGGATGCTTTGTCCTCGAAGACAATTCCCAATTCCCATCCAAAAATTCTTCTATTATAACCTGAAATGACAGAATAACAGAAAAAGATAATTTGTATAAAGGAAAAATAAGAAGAAGAAAATAAGAATTTGAAACACTGAAAGACATTAACAAGTAATAACCGTACGAACACTTGCACAACAACTCAACAATAAGTACAGCTTAATCAAAACCAATGATCACAACATAACAAAAAATAATAAATAAATAAAAAATCCAGATTTCAAAATTGGATACAAAGAAACAAGGATGTTTGCAATGATTTCTTTATTAGCGTATGCATCTTTGTGTCGACCTGACAGATAGCGAGCATGGTATATTGATATACATGTGACTACTTCAAATAACCGTGGTTACTTTCGATGATCTCATGAAGCCATAAGGATGCCAACAGACACGATAAACATTAACAACATGCTTATGAGAAATATGTATGTTCTTCTTGATGATTTCAAGTACTCACCAAACAGAAGTATAGCAAAAAACGTGCTCACAAGTGGAAGTGCCTATTATTACCACCAAAACGTAAAATGAGTGATCTAGTCTATGCCCAACAATCTATGAATATGAGTCTTCAATGATGACATAAATGAATAGGGAAAGCTCATCTAGAGGTCTCTAGATCCAAATCCAATGATAATGAAACTAACCTGAACAGCATCTGCTGCAACATATCCAGCAGCTTGACCTCCCATAAATTGAAGAACATTCCGAAACCACACAAAAGTCCTACCAAAAGGGCCCATCCTCTGCTATTCCATTCAGATAGATAGGTATTGAATGATGATTTGGGCAAGTTTAGGACAGGGTGATACAGAAAACTGATATTTAGAATGATGGCAATCACAAAATAGGATATTGAGAAGTAAATGCAGTATAAACACTTAAGTGGGGAACTCCGTCTTTCAAAGCATGCCACTTATCATTACTCGCCAGTGAGAAGAGCGAAAAGCAAATTCTAGCAAACAAAGTTATGGCCAAGCCAATGAAAGTGCCCTTTCCAAGGACTTGAAAGTGTGTATATATGGAAAACGCAAAACTTCCTTAATTATGAACCCTTGAAAAGTAGTACACATACATTAAATCATATACACGTGTTCGCCGTTCCAAGAGAATTTTATATATGATTCCTTTTTGAGATTGGGTATCCACCAGTTTTGAGACACATTCTACATTAATAATAAAACCTTCTTATGTTCATGAATTTGGTAGTTAACTAAGAGGGAAAGCACTTTTCAAATTGAACGATGGCATAATTTTTCTAAAAAAAGTGGTACATAATTGTAAGTGATAATATCCTTTAGAGACTAATCTCTATAAATTTCTACATAACATAAGTGCATAGGCATAGAGCGAACAGAAGATTACCTTAATCGTCCATTTTTGTTCAAGCTCCATCGGAAAATGTGCACTCCCAAACTGTGCCTTCTCATTCGTATCAATTCAATTCTCAAAATCTTCTATTCAAATTATAGGTGCTCAGTACCCCCAAAATGAATAGAGAACAAATAAACTGATAGCCCCCCTCCCCCCACCCCCAAATCCAATTTAACTATTTTAGAAGGCCAAAAAAGGTTGGACTACCAACTGCCAGGAAGGGAAACTAAAGTTTGTTAGAGGGTACATCTATTAGAGAAAGTTTATTAGAAGTAGGCTATAAATACGAATAGAGAATAGCCGTAGAGGAAGGTAGAAATTAAGTGGGTGAGAGTTCATTACAGTTTGTTTTGTTCTGTATTTCCTTTTCTGCAATTATAATTCCAAGAGTTACCTCTTAGTTTCTTGTTCTTCAACTCTTACAGTTGAGTCCTATCATAAACATTGGTTTCTAATACGATGGAACACGAGACGTAAAAATGTAACTGCCAGATGTCCTCTTACCGCAGTGTGCATATGTTTTCTTGGAGACAGATGCCTCAATCCTGCTCAAGTTAGTTCGAAGATTCACATCAGTTCACCAACATATAAATCAATAGAAGTCTAAAACATAGGCAACAACCATTCTTTTCACAGAACTTGTACTAATCATGGCCTTGTAAAATTTTACGATGAGAGCAGAGGGTTGACCAGGAGGTCACGAAAAACCTGAGTACGTTACAGGAAAGGAAATACACCTATAAGACCTCAAACATAGAAGGCTTACATTGACTTCTCCAAAATATCATTACGTGCTACTGATCTCATCATGGGCAATTATTTCAACACATGCATACGAGCGTCAATATTCTATTCTTTCGAATCTAGTTCATAAAAAGTTCCTAATGGTAAGTAAGAAGAGACATAATAGCATAAACGATTCTTCCTTAATTTCATCTCACCGTGTAGGTTTTAGCCCAAGTTTGACAATCGTTATTTTGAACTCTTTTTTTCTATATACTCATTTTCAACCATACATTCATACAATAAAATATTTTGCACGTAAATCCAAAAATTTTTCCCATTTTTTAACCGCATATTCTCAAAAAAATCCACTATTCAAAACATCATTTTACCATGTTAATGATTGTCAAGTAGGGATACATGTAAATTCAAAAATTTTCACACCTTTTTAACTACACATTCTCAAATCACTATTCAAAAAATGGATTTTCGCATTTAACGGTTGTCAAACAGTGGCTTTATGAAAACTGATGTATGATTCAAGAAACTTCTACTTGGCTACTTGAGCTATCAACTCTATCGTCACAACTTGTTAATAAACTAGTCATCCAAAACAATGAATCATACGCTGTCCCATCTTCGTAATTATTTGAGAAACTAGAAATTTTGGCTTCATTATCTGCAGCATTGGATGCATACACAGCAGATCCAAGACAAACAACAATCCAAAAGCATCCAATAGCAGGAAAAAGAATCTCAGCTTTGTTAATTCTGTCATCTAAGAAGTAATTCAAGGTTGTTCCTGAACAAGCAAAATAGGAAAATATTTATAATTTCGTCAACCCTCTTATGGAAGTAAGAAGTCATTGCTGTAAAATATAATACATACAACAACAGTTATGCTTCCAATAATCACCTCGATCACTGACAAACCAACAAATGCCCAAGCATATTGAGTTGACAGATTTAGGCCGAGGACAATCCCACCTGCCATTGCAAACAATACGCTATGCCAATTATCCTACATCAATTTGCAATAGAAGCATAATCAAATTTCAATTTGCGAGCTATTCTTCAATGTGAAATCTCTTGAAAAAAAAAATCCGCAGAAAAGCTCAGAACAAGAAAGGCAAAAAGGAAACCTTAAAATTTTGCACATCCAACAAATAAATGGGGCCTATTTTACTGATAATGTAAGTAGTTTTCTCGTTGTATCAACACCCCCACAAACGCACTACCACTAGCATTAAAGTGAAATTGCTAAAACAAAAAAATTTGACCTTGCAATCAAAATCCTTGTTGATCAGTGTATGTCAATGGTTTTTAATTTTTATTCTCTATTCTTCAATCACAATTAATATCCTGCAAAAATATCTATGGTTGTTTCATGGGGTGAAATCAACACGAAAGCTGGGCAACTGGATATCTGATAGCAACTGAGAAAATTGGTCTTGTGAATACCATTTAAACTCAATGATAAAAGGTTGATAGATTAAGGTGAAGGCATGTGCAAGGAGATGTAATTCTAAATGACAAAATAATATGGAAAATTCTAGCAAAATGCTATATGGACAGCACCCAACTCTCTCCGTCCCCTCCCTATGCATTCTTTGTTTATCTCCTTTCAGAGAAATTATCCATAGTGCCAACCGAGATTGTGGACGAAATTTGCGTATTGTTCTTGAATCAATCTAAAAAATATAAATTTGCATAAATTGATAGAAATAAACTATTAGAATGAAACATGATAATGCACGACACAATATACTTAATTGTTACCGATGATTATGACAGCATGTGTGTATCACCTTAAACTGTTAGGGTTCTAAACAAGGCCTATCTTCATTTTACATTGTCATTAAGTTTAGAGGTGAAGTCTAGACACCACTAAATAGACATCACTAAATTAAGGCTACTTTTATATTTGCAATAATGTTCTTTCTTACTTTCACCAAATTTTGCATTGAGATCAAATATTAGCCAAACAATTAATATGAGCAGTCTCACCTGAGATAGTTGATTTAGGAAATTTGGCTGTTCAGTTGTGCGCTTTTCGATTTCATCGAATGTGAAAGCAATGATGACAGCAGCCAACAGATTTGTGATCGTATAAACAAGGTAAGTGTGTTGAGGAAGACGACCTCTTCTTTCCAGTAGAGTCAAAATTGCAGGCCATGTTCCCAAGAAAAATAGAGCAAGAAGCATGCATGCTTTTGCACCTCCTTTGCTCTCCACCAAATACATCTTCGACCCCCCTAAATAAGTTCCTTTCTGATGGAAGCAATATCAATGAAGGAACACCTAAAAAGTCCTACAAAATGAACAAGGCAAGTCCATCAAATGTAAACATACAAAAGGGTAGTACTACATACATGAAGCAAGTGGTAACTACGCAGTACTAGACATGAATTGATGGTATAACAAACAAGATTGTAGCTTTTCTTTTTTACTATCGTCCAGTCAATCCAATCTTCGCTGCCAAACCTTTCCCCACCAAACATGCCAGAATGTGTTCATCTTTATTAAGCATATGAAGCCCAAATTTATGAAATCAATGTAATCAGGAACCATTAATTAATTGCTCAACTGAAAATTTTCATCATTAGGAAAAAAGTAACAGTGCCAGACAAAATCAGGTAATAAGAATCAAGCAATAGAAAAGTCAAACTCTATCAAGAAACCCAGCACAGAGAACTAACATAAACTGTAAAATAAGTCCTTACAAAAAAACTCATAAACACAAGATAACAACCCATTTAGGCTTTGATACCAATGTAAAACATTCTTGCATGCTTTAACCGAATTCTAAATTGTAAAACTTACTTGAAAATCTCAAAACGAGGTTGAATCACTTGCCTTTTGATTGCTTGCTTTCCACACCGTCTTCTACTCGCTCCTTAATCAAAAACTTGATAACAGTGAAAGGAATTTGATAGTCATAATCCAAGAACTCAATTTGAGATGTTATATTTCTATAAATGAAGCCTCCACTCTCATCTAGTTTTTACCCTTTTTGAAGGAACCTAAATTTTTGTACACTTTTTTTATTGTATAATGGAAGTCATATGTATGGTTGAGGGTGATGGAGGTTAAATTTTAAACTCAAAATTTAACTCCTCCCTCCGAAAAATCATCATATACAAATCAGGCCAGGTCAATCCACATGGGCGACCTATATTCTTCCAACATATGTTAATCATGTATTGTTTAGACCAAGGTAATTAAATGGTCAAGTTGATTGAATTGAATGCTTCATTACGAGAAAAAAATGTAAAATTTGGTTACTCAATCAATGGTGAAATACTCAATAAAATATCAATTAATAATATAATAGTTAGACTAGTGTGACCAAATGGTCCAGTTAGATAAATTGAACGCTTCTTTACAATAAATTTTTTCTAGGGATATGTGAAGATCATTTTTCAATTTTAAGAATGGATAATTGCAGTCATGGTTTAGAACGTTTCTAATTTTTACAATTTTTACCTAACCTTTCATTTGTTGTAACTACAATCCCAAACTTTTTCAAGTGCGTGCAGCTATAGGACAGATGGATGGATTCTGTTTAAATCATCTTTAGTTGACCAAAAAAATGATTGTAATCACATTATTAAGAATTTCAATCAGGATAAAATGATGACTTTATATATTTCCACATAAAAATAATATATAAAAAAGAAAATATAAATAAATAATTCATCACATTCTTCTTCTTCTTTCCATTCTCCATCCCTACCCCACTCGCACCACCACCAAACCAAACCCACAGCTACCACCACCTCCGTCACAATCCTTTTCCCAACCTATTTTCCATTTTTACTATCTTCTCCCCCCGAAATCGAACCAAAATCAATCATAAATCCCAAAATGAAGCAAACATTTTCTTCCCAAATGTACGAACCAAATGAGAATGAAATTCCATCAGTTTCTATTGATTCAAAAGAATTATTTATTCTTACATTTTTTATGTAATTGTGATAATAAATAAATTACTATTTTACCTTTATTGAAATTATTAATAATGTAGTCGAAATCATTTTTTTATCAATTAACGACGATTTGGATGGAATCAATGTATTTGTTCTTCAACTGTACACACTTGAAAGGTTTGGGACCATGGCTGTATTTATCCTTTTTAATAAGGTTAAACTATCTTTTAATTTCTATTTTAAAAAATAAGTAATTGAATATTTTACATTGGACATTTAATGAGATTTTGGCCTAGGGCCTTGACTCTCACACCTAGGAAGGGGTGTTTCCTACCCTCTTCCAATTCTCATGAAAACCTTACTACGAGTGTGAATTCATTTACAGATACCACGCAGCCAAAATAATTAGATTACACAACTTAACAAGAGTTACATTGAATAGAATATCGAAAACCAATAAATATACAGTGGCCAGGTACCTGACCACCAAAGCCTCCCTACAAGGGCTTTACCTAACAAGGTCTTCTTTCCTTTAATGGAATATGTAGACAGGTTATACCTGGTCAAAGGTGGTCAGGTAAGACCAACGATTATGCTACAACCTTGGTAGAGCTCTGTTCACAAAAGCAGACTAGGGGCAACACCCTCATTGTCCAAAACACTTATCCATGAATCTTTACACCTCCATGTTAAAAAGATCAACCATATATCTGGAGTCTGATAATGTGACAAGTGTCCGAATATGCTTATGCTACAGTACTAAGATAGATTAACCATAGATATAACGTTCGATAACATTACACGTGTCACGATATTCTATCCACATTCATCTTATATAAAATAGGCAATGATCCCTAAGTAGGCATGTGCCAAAAAATTGAAAAACTGACCAAACCAATCAAATCGAACCTGCTCGATTTAACATACGTAATTGGCTTGGTTTGGTTTTTAGTTAAACAAAATCATGGTGGGTTGATTTGTTTCATTTGAAATATCACAATTACATGGTTCATTAACAAGTAATAAAATGGATTTTGAGTTCAAGTATCATTCCCATGGAGATTATACTAGTTCAAATTCGAATTAATTTAGCCTTAACCAAAACAATTAAAATTTGTGATTTTTTCTATAAATTGAATAATATACTTATAAATTCAAAACCTAAATTAATTAAAATCAATGCAAGTTTTATAAAAATGTAATGATGAAAAGCGTACTAGGAACCCCGAATCCCCTTATGTCAATTCACTTTAATCTCGAACCTTATGAATTTAACAACACGATTTAATTATGAAGATCAATATTCTTAAATTGTTTACAATTTCTCTTGAATAGAATTAAACATATTCTCATATATGACTCAACTATATTTCTATGATGGATGCGAATATACAAGAATGCATTAACGATTTAGGAATACTTAAAGATCATGTAAAGTATAGCTGTATATTTCGATTCCTATTGGATTATACAACGATTAACACTATGTCTAACTTATTTTCCGTCTTTCAAGGTAAAACAAGCCACAATATTCATACAATCATTATGCACATAATTGTAAGGAAGATGTTTTCATGAAACTGTTCAATAGTTGAAAACGTGTTTGAATGTCAAAAAGAAAAACTAAAAATTAAACGATTTATCGTAACCCTAGCATTAGATTTGTTTAGCCTAACATATTGTGAAGAAGAAAATAAAAGATATAAAAGTTGTTCATCACTCGAAAATTCTTAAGCTGAATCTTGAATTTCTTGAAATTCAATCTTGATGTGTTCTTTTGCCTCCTTTTACAATTCAATTCTCTAGAGCCTAATTTTGCATTGATAGTTGGAATTTATAGTGCTTTCCAAGATATCCCAAAAGTCTCTAGAATTCATGCAAATAAGGGCCCAAGTGGAAGAATCCTGGTTGAAATAGAATTTAAAATGAAAAATAGTTTCTGGCTACGTTTGGCCTGGGCGGGCGCCCAGTAGAAAGTCGGGGCGGCTGTTTGTACCCATTTTTTTCTCTGTTTTTGTTTTCCAACATTGGGTAGCTGCTGGATCCATATAATTGCGCAGGTGCCGAGTTAAAATCACTTTCAAAATTAGCAATTTAGTCATCTTCTTCATTCTTTCCATTATTTTGATCATCCACTTTAAATTACTTCTATTTCGGTCCTTCAACTTCTTTCTCATGTGCACATTATTCACCCAAACATTCCTCCAATCATCAATTCATCCCTCTCTCTCTCTCTTTTCCAATTGCTTATAAAAGGGATTCAAAACTGAAATTAGAAAAAAGTTAAGTAAAATTTAACACTTTGAAGACATACAATCTTATTAATTTGCCTCAAATAAATACACAAATGCACTTATCAAACACCCCCAAATTAAAACCTTTGTTCCTCCTCTAACAAAACAAAACTTAGGAATAAAATATAGCACTAACCTATCCAAATCACACGTAACAATCTCGATGTTGAACCACTTACCGTATGTCTTAAGTTTCAAATTTAAGTGACACTTTAAAAAGATCTAAACAACAACATTTTTTTTACTTATTTGATATTCGACTTAGTATGTGTGTTGATTAGACTACATTGAACTCACACACATACTAGAACACAACCAATCAAGTGTTGTTGATCACTCATAATCACAATCCTCTTGTGGTCAGTTTTTCCTCACACTTCTCATGCAAAATCACTCATTATACTTTTCTCTCCAATCCTGAGATATTTCTAGCACAGGTAGGTTCCTAAGAATCATTGTAACACATCTTCAATACAAATGGTCAGAATTAGATACTTAAACACCTAGAAGGAAAATGGTAAGTATTTCTCAAAAACACATTGTCAGTCTCTAGAGTTCAAATATCAAAATCTTTATCGGGTACTTCTCACTTTTGATGATCTAAATCTATTTTTCTTTATTTCGCTATGAATATATTTTGATTGTTGCTCTTTTTTTTTTAACATCTTATGTGTAAGATTTATGTCCATTAAATTTTCTAAATGGCCCATGTAACGAGTTTTAGGTCGATGACTTCCAAGTCAAATAAACATAGGGCACCAGGTTTTAGATATCCTAGCAGACTTAATAACCCAAGTCATAAATACTATGAATAGAGGTATAAGAAGTACCACACCTTTTTTTTTGGGTACGAGATTTGAATTTTTAAAGTAGTCGCATTTCAGACTCCTTAATAGAAACTCCTTCAACCAACGATAAGATCTGAGAACTACAAACTATTAAAATTCTATAAATACAAGCACTAACATTCCTACCCCAAACTGCTTTCTAACAGTCTGGTTTCAATATTAAGTATTTGGGA